GGGGGCCGAGTCCAGCCCAGTGCACGGCTGCAGTTAAGAGCCAGGGCTTGCCGCTAGGAATGTGACCCAGTGGGTCCCTAACCTCTGTAAGCAGCTCCCAGGTCTGGGCACAGGCTCCCCCCACCCCGCATGCCAGGCGGCCAGGGCAGCTCCCTTATTGCTGGCTTGCAGCTTGCAGTTTGCGGGAGGACGCTGTGGTCATGTCTGACACCGTGACCAGCAGGAACTGTGTCCTGGGCAGAAAGAGCAGTGTCCCAGGCCTGTGTCGGAGGAGAGGAGCTGAGTGAAGCCAGAAGGGAGCCAGGACTTGCTAGAGGCCCTCCTAAGCCTGGGGTCTATGACCCGTAGTCCAGGCTCCTTTCAACGCTGCTGCTGCTGCGGCCGAGGCTGGGCCAGCTGGGTGCCTGTGCTGCGGCCCTCAGGCTCCCAGCCTGCAGCCCATCCCCAGGCCAGGATTCTGAGCCCTCAAGGGACCTGAACCCACAGCCCAGCAGTCGGTTCTGGTTCCTCTGCCGAGGTCTGAAGGTGAAGGTGGGAGGGGGCGCAGTGGAGTGGCGGCCGCCCTGGCCTTGGGAGTGAGGAGCCATCAGCAGGCCCAGTTCGCCACTGCGGGCAGGCGGGCGTTCATTCCTGCACAAGCCCCTTACACTTGCCCAGGGGGTCTCTGCAATGGGCACCCCTATGGCTGGGCAGGACCCGAGGCGGTGGGCATGCCGCTGGGTCAGGGAAGGAGTTCCTGTTTGGGGGGGTGCTGACCCAGCCTCCTGGACCTGCCCCAGGGTGAGGGATGTGTGGGGAGGGGGGAACGTGTGTGGAGGGAAAGGAACAGGGAGGGGGAGGCAAGGTGCACTCGGGAGCTTGTCCTCACCCAGGTGGTGTGGCCACTCCAGTCAGGAAGAGAGTGACCAAGTCCGGGCACAGGGCTGGTGAGCGAGGGCTCTTCAGTTCACACCTTGGGGGAAAGAAGGCTGGAGGATCGCCCACGCCCACGCCCACACTCCAGGCGGGCCTGCCCTGTGCTTCCCCGGGGCCAGCATGCCGCGTAGCCCATTCGGTCTGGAAGGGGGGGTGGCCTCATCCCCATCTGAGTAGGCTGGCGTTCTGGGAAGCCAGGGCCTGTGGGCGTAGCAGGCCAGAGGGTGGGGCTCCTTCCATCCCCCAAACAGGCCTCTCCAGCCCTGGGGTCCCTGGAGGGTCCCCTGGACTGTGACACAAAGTGGCAGGCCCAGTGTCTGAGCTGCAGCAGGCCCCTTGCCTGCCCCTGGGAAAGACACGGGCAGCCAGGCCCCAGCCTGCCCCTTCCCCGCAGGGCTAGGCTCTGCCGGGCACACATGGTTCTGCCGCTGCCCCTGGCCTCTGCCCTCGAGCCTGGCCAGCCCGGGGAGGGATAGTGTGACCCCACTTTAGGGTGACAGGACAGGACTGAGGCAGCCGCGTGAGGGCCCGTGACAGTGGTCAGCAGCCAGTGGCACAGGCCTCTGCCATCACCAGGTGGAGGCGGGGCGCGGGGAGGAAGTGAAGGCCACCAGCAGATGTGATTCTCTTGAGTTACGGGACTGGGGTGTGGCAACTTCTCCTTTGTGTTTCCGGCTTTGCCTTTTTCCAGGAACCACAGGGAGGCAGGTCTTGGTGAGGGTGAGCTAGCGTCTGAGTGGCTGTACTGTTTACAGCCAACCCTATGAGAGGTCCTGTTAAGATCTCCACTTCCACCCCGGAGACAGGGCATGGGGACAAGCTGCCTGGCCCAGGAGCGCGGCCAGAGGGTGGTAAACCAGGACCTGTGCCCAGGCACCCCGGCTCAGTCTGGACACCTGTAGGTGACTCCCTTACAACACAGCTCATAGTGATGAGAAACACCGCTTTGCAACAGTCACCAATGACCCTACACATACTTTTTAGGTTCGTGGATTTCGGCACGATGGAGGTTTGGGGAGTGTCCAATGGGCTCTGTAGTTGATGCCCAGTTCAAATCGTGGCTCCACCAGTCACCGGGTGGGAGACTGGCATGTGTTTAACATCTTACTGTGCTTCAGATGCCCAATCTATGAAATGGGCCACTTGCACCTACCTCATAAGTTAACATGGCACAATGCTTGGCGACAGTGAGCCCGTGCTAGCTGTGACTATTACTAGCAGACAACTATACTATCCAAATGTCAGGCACTGGTGTTACCGTCAGTCATTGCTAGTTCTGTAAAGTGAGGCAACGGTCCCCAAAAGTGTCATTAGCTACCTGCCCAGTGACGCAAGGCCAGCGGCAGGCTGCAAAGCAGAAGCTTATTCCCTGGTCTGTGTTCACAGCAGTGCCCAGTCTGTGATGCCATCTGCTTGGCTGCTTTCCAGAGACGCTGGGGCTGGGCCCTCCCTTCCGTTCCTGGACTGCTGTGCAGAAACAGGCCTCCTGGGCACTGCCACAACCACCTGGCCCACGTGCCCGGAGCCTGCTGGGGTGGCATCTGCAGTGCCTGAGCACTTTAGATATCTCATGTAAAGAGAGGCTTTATGCCCCTTGGTTGTTCAGAAAGCACTTGGCTGTGATGTCAGGGTTCCTGGGGACAGTGACAGGCCAGAGCTCAGTCTCCTGGGGGGG